CCCCAGAACTCAAACAATTTCCGAGGCCAACTCTTCAGACAGGGATTGGACTGGACTGTGGGACATAAAGTGATACTCGTGAAGAATGTGCCTCTTGGACAAGTAGATATAAGAGACCAAAGGGGTGGCTTCTGTCCAGAGGTGAGAGGCGAAGGCAGAGAGAGTTAGGAGCTGGCGGAATGTTCATGGGGAATCAGGGGCGGAGGGGAGGAGTGCGCTGTCGCAGAATGGGGTGAGCGGTAGGGGTCTCATAACAATGTATGTTAAAAAAAAAAAATTCTGTATGGGAGACTAACTTGAAATGTAAACTTCATTTAATTACATCAATTAAAAAAAAGAAAAATATAAACTAACATGTTGGTGAGGCTGTGGAGACACTGGAACCCTTGTGCGTTGCTGGTGGGAATGTAAAATGATGAAGCCTCTGTGAAAAACAGTTTGGCAGTTCCTCAAAATGTTAAACAGAATTACCATATGACCCAGCAAACAGTAATTCCATTCCTAGGTATATACACCCAAGAGACTTGAAAGTAGGGACTCAAACAGGTACTTGTAACCAATGTTCACTGCAGCATTATTCATAATAGCCAAAAGGTGAAAATAACCCAAGTGTCCATCAACAGATGAATGAATAAACAAAATGGGGTATATCCATACACCACATTCAGCCATAAAGAGAAAGGACATTCTGATACGTGAATGAATCTTAAAAACATGCCAAGCAAAGTCAGTCAGACACAAAAGGACGGATATTGTATGATCTCACTGATACGAAATACGTAGAAGAGGCAAATGCAGACAGACCAAAGTTTATCAGTAGTTACTAGGGGAGAGGAGTGGGGCGATCATGAGTTACTGGTGAAGGGGTACTAAGTTTCTGTTTTGACATGATGTAAAACTTGAAAATGGGTGGTGCTGACAGCAAGCAGAACATGGTGAATGTAATTAATGTCACTTCAAAATGGGTTCAAACTGAATTTTTTTGTTATCTTTCACCACAATAAAATAAAGAATAAGACTTCACGACAGGAAAGGTCAAGAAGGGCAACAACGGACTGCCCAGATTTTACTCCGTGCCGTGCAGACTGTGGGAAACAGGACAGCACCATGGTCAAAACTGGACGGAGCCTCGTGAACAGGGGAACACCAAGTTTCTGTTTTCTAGGGGAAAAATTTGGAAAGGATAGTGGTGATGGTTGCAGAACATGATGAACATAATTAATGTCACTGAATTGTACACGTAATGTTGAAACAGAAAAATCTTTTGTGATACATATATTTACCACAGACACACAGAAATACCCCCGGAAACCACGAGGGTGTGTGAACACGGGGGAGGAGAGCTGAGGACCCACCAGGGGCTGGGTGAGGGGGCTGCGACGGAAAAGTGATCAGAGTGAGGCCATCAACAGTCACGTGTACGAGGTTATGAGCTCCTTGAGAACAGGAACTAGGCAGGTGCACGCTGGGGTCAGCGCTCCAGGAGGGATAGGGGCGCACCGACTCCGGGACTCGGTTCCCCACATGCCCAAGGCCCCTCCCACATCCTGAGTTTGCTATGCGGTCGATCCGAGGACGCCGAGGTCTCCTTGAAAACCGACTCACCCCTTGCCGCGGCCGGGAATTCTCGTAACGCCCTCCGCACGGCGTCCAAAGCCGCTTCCGCCATGACTGCCGCCGCAGCGCCGGAGACCCAGCTACTGACTGCCGGCCCCACCCCTCTCCTGGGCCCCGCCCTGCCCCTCCTTGCGGCCCCGTCTCGGGCCCCACCCCTCCCCTCGGCCCCGCCCCGCTTCCCTCCCCTCCCCGCGGCCCCGCCCTTCCCCAGGGGCCAGCTGCTGAATCTGTCGACGTGAAGCAGCACCGCTGCTTGCTCCCGCACTCGCTGGCATCCCAAAGTTAATAAATGATTGTTTATTGACGAGCTCATACATCAATACAAACGGACACTTTAAAAATAGCCCCGGCTCCGTACGAGCCCGGGGAGGAGGGAAGCGCCACGGCCTGGACAAAGTATAAAAGTTATAAATAAGGGAGTCTCAAAACTGAGCTGGGCAAATCTGAAAAGGGGCGGCAGTTGCCAGTGGCCTCAGACATGCAGAAGATAAAACGGGGAGCCAGCCGGACACTGGGCACAGGGTAGGGAAAACGCGCCCACCTTCTCAAAACCTTAGTACGTAGTGAGTGTAGCGCCCTCCCTGTGAGGGACAGGCTGGCTGAGGATGGGGGGGGGGCGGGGAACCAGCCCCGAGGGCCAGGCCAGAGCCCTATTTGGGGTGGGCTGTGGCTGGTGTAGGAGCCCTGGTGGTTAAAGCATTCAGCTACTAATGGAAAGGTCAGTGGTTCCAACCCACCAGCTGCTCTGCGGCATAAAGATGTAGCAGTCCGCTTCCATATACAGCCTTGGAAACCCTTCTGAATCAACTCGACAGCAACAGGTGGCTGGTGTGCGGGGTTGGGGCGTACAGCTGCAGGGAATTTCTAACCCTCACACAGGCAGCTGCAGCCTCGCCTGGCCCACCCTCAGCTTTAAGAGTTCCTGGGGTCAAGGTTTCCTGGAAGTTTGGCCATGTAGATGGTGGTAGCAGAAAGAGTGGGGTGAGATAGGCCTTGATCTGCTCGAGTGCACTCAAGCTGATGGAACAGAGCTGGGCATCCTTCAGAACCCCATTTCTTTCTGTCTACACAGCCACCAAGGCCCAAAGGTCTTTCCAAGCTGGTGAATGGGTTTTTGTGGCCTGAAGCTGTGGTAAAGCTGCCCTGACTTACCCAGGACAGAGAGAAGCAACAGGGGCCAGAGACACACGTTCTTCACCCCAACTCCTTCAACAAATGCTGCACTACTTGGCCCCATTCTACCTGCCTACTGTGCCCCATGTCCATCCCCTTACCCCTAACAACTTCCCCTTCTAATACTAATCTACCCTCTCACCTCTGCCACTTACCTGTCCCACTACCACCTTTGCAACGTGTCTCTAGGCCCCCGAGGCAAGCCCATGCGCCTCCCTCCCCTCAACCTCCAGCACCCGAGTGCCCCTGGGCACAAACACTGCCTTTAGGAGGCTCCTTCTATCCAGACCAGGTCCCCCATGGTCCCCTATGGGCGCTATGGTCCCCTAGCTCATATTAGCTAGGCTGGGACACCAAGAGTCCAGAATTTGGGTTTTGTGTGTCCCATCCTTTCCATGTTCCTGGTTATGAGTTCCGCATAAAAGCCAGGGTGAAGCCGGGGCAGGATGAGAGGAAACCAGGCCACTGTGGCTAGTCAGTACTCCAACAAAGAACACTAAACCGTATGTGTGTGTGGGGGGGTGTGTGTGTGTGGTGTGTGGGGTGTGTGTGTGCGTGTGTGTGTGGTGTGTGTGTGTGGGTGTGTGTGTGGTGTGTGGTGTGTGTGGTG